GGGATTTATAAGTTGAGACTGGGCGGACCTGGAGAGGGAACCAGGCAAGTAACTCCCTCCAGGAAGACAGACGTGTAAAATGACAGCAAGCTCAGAGGGCGAGAGGATAGAGGCAACGTGGACAAGAAACGTGGAACAGGGGGGTCTCAGGGACACGGGGCCGAGTTGGTCAGCTTGGCCAGGCTCTGTCCTACTTCTAGGAGCCTGGGCCTCGGGCATGTCAGCTTATGGCGACTCTGACACACAGTGGGTGAGAGGCCCTGCCGGAGGGCCGAGCCATGCCCTGGTGTGGAGACTGAATCACCCCTGGTGGGCATGCTGGGGGCTTGGGGCACCAGCCGAGGGGGGTGGATTCCGCAGTTGCCCGTGCATACCTGGTGGGAGGACTCATGGGAGGAGGGGCTGAGTGGGGACAGGGCACGGGTTTATTAATTAAGAATCAGGTTCCCAGGTCCACTGATCACATCCTAGGGAGGACGCCTGAGAAGCTGAATTTTAACAAGCGCCTTGGACAGTTCTGATCATCAGGGGACTGGGGGAAATGCTGGCCTAGAGATGCCCTAAAGCCACAGGGTCCTGGACCAGCAGCAGCACCTGGGAGCGTGTCAGAAGGGCCCACTCCCAGGCCCTACCCCTGGATCTGAATTTTGACAAGATTCTAGATGATTCTTGCTGATTAAAGGTGCCTGGAGTCTTTGAAGGCAGGTGTGTCAGCTGAGGTGGAAGGGTCTAAGGGTAGGTATTGAGACTCTGGAGGGGACATAAGGGAAGTACCTATAACCGAGCCCCCAAATCTACTTGTAGAATGTTGCGGGGTTGGGGGATGTGGAGGAAGCAGGTGTAGTCAGTGTTTCGCCACCTTTGGACATGCCTACAGTCAGCAAGGCCCTCGACCCCATAGTGGCCAGGAGCACACTGAAGGGACCTGTGGCTCCCAGTAAGGAGTGGTGGAAGGGGCACTGGGTCAGGGTGAGGAGACCTGGCTTCCCACCTGTCCCCGCCATCTCCCAGCTGGGTGGGAGACAAACCACTACCTGTCACTGGAGCCTGAGTGTCCTCGTCCGTTTTCCCCCTAGGACTGTGCTGATGCTTGTGTGAGGTGGGCCCTGGGGGGCTCGGAGGCTGCTGGGCAGGGGCTCTGGGACGGAAGCATGGGGTTTGTGTCATGGCATGGAACCGACTGCCCTATGTTTATTGCATTCCATAAGGCTGTGCCCAGAGGCCCAGAGGCGCTAATGTGCTTGGTCAGCTTGTAATAGGGACAGTCTCTTGGGCTTGGCGTCACATGGGCTGTGGCTCATGTCCAGGCTCTAGCACTAGTTGGTGACCCTGAGCAGGTCACTTAGCGTCTCCTGGTCTCAGCTCCTCATCTGTGACATGGCAATGGCATGGCAGACCATGGGCTGGTTATGGGATGAGACAAGACACTCAGGGTTCCCTGTACCATGGTTTGCATTCCTCTTCCCTCCGCTTCAAGGACCACGGTGGCCTTCTGGTCTACCTTCCAGGAAGAGCTAGAGCCCTGGGATCTGGGTTCAGCAGCCTGGGACTAGCTGTGTGGCCTCTGCACATCCTTTGCCCTCTCTGGGTCTCCTACTATAAAGGGAGAGGGTTAGGTCAGCTGATGATATCATGTCATTATTCCCGAAGCCTTGTAGCTTAAAACCATCAGCACCTGCCTTAAACCTCTCTTCTCCCCTCTTGTGCCTTACATGTGATTCCCTCCTCTACCAGCTCCTGGGTTGGGCCTGGGATCTCAGGGTCCTGGGATTGAGCCCCATGTCAGGCTCCGTGCTCAGCGGAGAGTCTGCTTCTCCCTCTCCCTCTACCCCTCCCCCCTGCTCGAGTTCTCTTTCTCTCAAGTAAATAAATAAAATCTTTAAAAAAGGATAGAATGAGGAAAATGAGATGCAAAGATTGAAGAGACTTGCTCTGCTTCTTGCAGTGAACAGACCTCAGGCTGTGGGAGTGGGATCTTTGGAGACCACGGAGGCTCCCTCTGTGTCCCTGAGGTCCCTCACTAGCCTACCTTGGCAAGGAGCCTCCTGCTGGAGCCTCTCAGTATGGACCTGTCTTCTCCCTGTAAATCCTTCATCACATACGTGCACGCACGTGTGCACATACACACACACACACACACACACACACACACCACTTTTAAACCTATTCCTCGTCCAGTGACTTGTTGTGTATAAAAAACAAATGGTTCCTTTGAAATAAAAAACCAGATGACTGGTTGTTGGTGAAAATCAATAACTATGCTAAGTATTTCAAGCATACAGTACTTGGAGTTCTACTCTGGGTGGTTTTATAATGAATGGGTTGGCTTTTTTTTTTTTTTTTTTTAAATAGAGCCTGGCCTACTTTAGTGTTGAATTATACAGAAGACTTTTGCTTTGGCTCTGTTTACCAAGACAATTAAATAATTTATTATTTCCATGATACAGAGATTGAGCCTTATAAAGTGGGAAGCGCTCAACCTGAGACAAACCACCCTGGGTTAGATGATTATCAAGACTCTGCCCAGATGCCGACCCCAGCACAGTGTTCCCGGATTTCCCCCAGGCTCCCACACACTGTCCTGGTTACTTCTGAGATGGAATGTTGGCTTTGCATGTCCTTGTTCATCCTGGGTGTCTTCTGAAACTCCAGGCCTATGGCTGGAGTCCTGGGGACATGGACCCTCAGCACAGCCAAGCCCACCCCAGCAGCCCTCACTAGCAAAAAGGGATCTTTCCTCAATTCCCAGGTTGATCACCACTTCCTTGGAAAGCCTCTCCAGCTAGATCACGGCCTTCAGGGGACACATCTGTAACACCTGTCTCCCCACCTTTTCATCGAAGGTTCAGTTTTCTGTTCAGCCTAGAGCTTGCCTGGTAAAGTCAGTCCCTTCCATCAGGGGCACCTTGCGGGGGGAGGGAGGTGGGACCACATCTCCCTTGTTGTCGGTTGGAACCCAAGAGCCCAGCATGTGGCCTGGAATCTAGGAGAACCTCCAGGAATCATTTTGTTTGGTTTGGGGTTCTCTCTTTCTCAGTCTTTCCCTTTTATGCAAGTAGCATTATGAATTCATGGATCTTTTTTTTTTTTTTTAAGATTTTATTTTTATTTATTTATTTAACAGAGATCACAAGTAGGCAGAGAAAGAGAGAGAGAGAGAGAGGAGGAAGCAGGTTCTCCACTGAGCAGAGAGCACGACGTGGGACTTGATCCCAGGACCCTGAGATCATGACCTGAGCCAAAGGCAGAGGCTCAACCACTGAGCCACCCAGGCGCCCCTGAATTCATGGATCTTTAAAAAATATATTAAATGGGCTGTATTCCAATCAGTCACAGACATTATTTTTTAATGCAGTGTTTTTGCTGCTCTACTTAATATTTCTACCTTTCCTCCAAATTTTCTTCCAGTCTTTTGGAAAAATATTTAAGCCTACAAAACTTAAAAGAAAGTGCAGTGAACATCCTCTGCCCTTTACATAGGGACACCGATCGTCTATGTTTTGCCTTGTTGGTCTTCCGTACCCTCTCTTTCCCCCGCCTAGCCCCCCCACACTCATATTTTTGCTGACGCCCTTGACAGCAGCTCGCGGACGTAATGACGCTTCACCACTAAACATGTCAGCACAAGTCTCCTGAGAGCGATTATATCCTCGTGTAGCACCACAATATAATGATCACACCTAAAAAATGAACAGTGATACAATAATCTAAACTGTTACGTGGCCCATATTCAGATTCCCCCAGTAGTCCCCAGAATGTCCTTCGTGCCATTTTTTGGGGGGTGGGGGGGACCAGTCAGGTAGCATACAGTGTAAGTCCGATCACGTGCTTACTCTCCTTGAATCTACTACCTTTTTTTAAGATTTTTATTTATTTATTTATTTATTTATTTGACAGAAATCACAAGTAGGCAGAGAGGCAGGCGGGGGGGGGGGGTGGGTGGGGAGCAGGCTCCCCGCTGAGCAGAGAGCCCGATGTGGGGCTCGATCCCAGCACCCTGAGATCATGACCTGAGCCGAAGGCAGAGGCTTAACCCACTGAGCCACCCAGGCCCCCAAATCTACTACTTTTAATCGCCTACCTTTTTTTTTTTTTTTTTTTTTTTTTTGGCTTATGGGACATTGACCTTTCTAAAAGGCTCAAGCCAGTTGTTTTAGAAAACGTTCCCAAATCCCAAATCTGGATTTGATCATTTCTTCACAGCTAGATTCCGGATAAACTGTTCTGGCCAGAATCCTTTTATACCATGTTCTTCCCACTGCTTTGAGTCAGGAGGCCCACCTTTGAAACCTTCTCAGTGATGCGAAACTCAATCCTTTGGCTAAGGTGGCATCTGCTAGATTTATTGTAAAGATACCTCCTCCTCTTAGTAATTATTAAGTAACCTGTGGGGTGAGACTTTGAGGCTGATGTCCTGGTCCCCCACCATCTTTTACCAGATGGTTTGAGGCTCAGTTGATGGTCCTGGCCAAGCCACTGTCACATCGGGGCTGCAAGATGGCCATTTTCTGACCGAACTCCCTTTTTCCTTTTTAAATTAAATATTTTATTTATTTATTTGACAGAGAGAGAGAGACAGTGAGAGAGGGAATACAAGCAGGGGGAGTGGGAGAGGGAGAAGCAGACTTCCCGCTGAGCAGGGAGCCGCATGCCGGGCTTGATCCCTGGACCCTGGGATCATGACCTGAGCTGAAGGCAGATACTTAACCAACTGAGCCACCCAGGTGACCCCCAACTCCCTCCCTTCTGCACTGAAGCTGGCGTTCTTCTTTGCAGAAGAGCATTCCCTTTTTTGACGCTCTCATTCCCTCCTGCCCCCTTCCCTCCCCTCCTACCTTCTCCTCCATTCCTCTGGGCACTTAATATATTTATCTGCCTTAAATTTGGAGCCAGCCATTTCTTCAAGCTTTCCCCATTCTTTCTGTTGGGGAATTATATTTAGGGACCAAGATCTGGGGTCTAACTCTGCTCATTGCTACTGGGGTTCATTGCTTCTAGGATTTTTTTTTTTTTTTTTGTGGACTGAACTAGAAAATAGACTTCTTTATGTTTTAAACAAAAATATTTAAACTTGAATATGACTATAAGGAGATAATCATACCCATCTAGAGCATTTTACAAGCCACCTGGCCTGGATTCTTCAGGAAAGTTAATGTTGTGGAAAACAACAAAAACAACAACGGAAAGGCCGGGGGCTGTTCTTAGATGAAAAGAGGTTATAAAAATATAGCAGCCAAATGGGAGGCATGGATGCTGATTAGATCCCAATTTTTAACATCCAAAAGGGCATTTTGGGGAAACCGAAGAGATCAGGGTAGACTGACCATTGGATGGTACTGAAGTGCTCTTCATTCTCGAGTGTGGTGAGGACACTGTGATCACACTCTGGGGAATCTTCCAGAATCTTCTGGACTGATGGGAGTGAAGTGTCAAAGTTTATAATTTCGAATGCATCAGAAACAAAAACGTGTGTGTGTGTATGTGCGTCTCTGTGTATGTGTGTTTACGTGTGTGTGTATGTGTGAGAGGAAAGCAGATGTGGAAAATACTGAATGGTGAAGGGGATATGGTGTTCACTGTACTGTTCTTTCAACCTTTTTGTAGGTTTGAAGAGCTTCACTGTAAAAAGCTGTGAGTGTGGGAGGTGGCGGGTGGGTGGAGGAGACTAGATCTCTCTCCTGGTCGGACATGGAGACATAACCAGAAGTCCCTTTACAGATTTTTCTCAGTGTGATTGATACATTTGTTAAGTGCCTTTGTTTTCAGTTCTTAGGGATTGCTTTCTTTGTGTTGATCAATTTTATTTTTAAAACCTACACAACTTTTAGATGATTCCACAGTCAAAAAGGATGTAACAAGTAGAGAATTTCTGGACCCCATACAGCTTCCCTCTGTTCTGTTCCATGCCTCTCCTGTATTTAGCCATTTTTCATTATCCCTCCAGTGTTTCTCATTCCAGATATACATAAATGTGTGTCTTTATTCCTCTTCCTCTATCTTATGCAAAAGGGAGCCTACTGCATATGCTGTCCTGCACTTTGCTTTTTTTCCCCTTAATTTTCCCAGAGCTGTCTGTTTTGTCACTATATAAAGATATTCCCTATTTTTTCTCTTTTTTTTTTTTTTTTTTACAGCTACATGGCACTTGTCGATGTGCATGGACTGCAGTTGGGACAGCCAGTCCTCTATCAATGAACATTTGGGTTGTTTCCAGTCTGTTGGAATAACCTGAGCCACACTGTTTCATAGGGGTTGCCAGTGTGAATTGGGGATGAATTCCTCGAAGGGGGTTTATGGGGGGGTTAAGGGAATGCATCTGTAATTTTTCTAGAAAATAAATGATTGCTGAACTGCTGAGAAAAACTGATGAATGAATTTGATTAAGAAGAGCAGAAAATAAAAGGCTGATACTCAGATGGAGATCTAAAACAATCAGACCGCCTAAATATCTTGGAAGAGGCTGGTTTCAGACCCCCCTGACCGAATCTCCAAGTGCCACAGTTTTCGTTCCCTCACGGAAAGAACGAATTTCTCCTTAGTCTGTAAATCAAATGCAGAATTGCAAAGTCATGAAAGGGTAGAGCTGAAATAAAAAGCCACCCAGGACCATCTCCTTATTTTAACGGCAAGGGGAGTCCGGGCCCAGAAAGGGGAGGGGGTCAGGAGAAAGGTGGAGAAGCAGCCCCCGATTCGGCTCAGTGCCATCATTGTAGTGAACAGCCCGTGCCGTGTCTGCTTTAGAGGAAAGCCCACGTGCTTGTGGGTGCTACCCAGAGTCAAATGGGAAATTGTCCTAGCGCGCGCCCCCGAGATGTTACGTAAGGAGTGCCGTGGTTCAGACCCCTGCGTGCTCTCCGTCACAACATCGCCTTCCACGGAACTCTGTCCGTGTAAATGGCTTTGGTTTCCCATCTTTTGTGTTATTCTGGGGTGTTCAAATGGAGTCCTGATGATAAATCGGACCAGGTGGCGGCTTCGACGGGCTGTGTGTGTTCTGGCCGGTGATGTGGGTGGTCATGTTTGCCGAGGAGAGCCTGGAATTACATAATCCCGGCGTTGGTGGCATTCTGATTTGATTCTGAGCAGGCGGCATGGGGCAGCAGATAAGTTTCGCCCAGCCCAGCTGTGGACTCGGGCTGGGAGCCTGGGCAAGTCCCTTGTCTTCTCCGGTCCCCCTGCGGGTTAAAATGAGGAATTGGACAAGTTCAGGATGGCGGATACACAAATGACGGCGGTGCCCTTGCTTCCCCGTCCCATGCTAATTGCAGGTGTGACCTCACGCTCTTCACGGACTTAACCCACATCTCTGGCCGCCACTATCAACGTGCTCGTGACATCACATAGGCTCAAGTCTATTTACCATCTCTGGTGTGGATGGTGACTCAGGAGTCATGATAGAAGCCAGGTATCCAGTTAAATTAAAAAATTTCAGGCAAATAAAGAATAGTCTTTCATCACAAGTATGTCCCCAGTATTGCTAACTATGGCAACCCTCTTAAGCCATTTCTACTTGTACGGTTATTTCTCTTTTTTGAATGTAATTCATTTGATTGGAGAGGTCCGTCTACCCCATTTGTGGCCCTTCTGATAGTGCTTATTCTCCAGTGCCCAGATAAGAGTCTAGCTCATGATATATTGTTTAAATGCATATTATGACTTAATTTAATGAAAAGTAAGAGATTTGAGTAGGAGATTTTTATTTCTGAGGACTGTATATTCTTATAGGACTCCTTAATGAACCTGCAATCCAGTGTTTCCCAGACCTCCAAGACCTTTGGGTCTACCACTTGTATTGTTAACTGATTTAGTATTTTCCTTTAAATACACATATCCTTTTATTGAAATACCATGAATGGGAAATCTGTATCATTTTCTAAGAAGATGGTATAAAAGTATAAAAAAAAGAAAATGTAACTATTGCGATATAAAATATAAATATCAATATAAAAAAAGAAAGTGTACCTATTGAGATATAAAATATAAATATAAAAAAGAAAATGTACCTATTGAGATATAAAATATTAATCTGGGGCTCAACTAAAATCACTAGGTTTGCCATCGGCAGACACTGACTCGTGCAAACTCCCTATTGGTTTGAGAATCCCCTCCACAACCCTGATAGGTGATTCTTGAGCATCTCCTTGAATACCTCCAGTGATGGAGAACTCAGTACCTTGTAAAATTTTGATTCCTTCTTGAATATCTCACTATTAAATATTTCTCCCGGATGTTGATCCACATTGGGCTCCCTGAAAGAGTCATATATCAATTCTACTTTTCTCTCTGGGACCCCACATACTAAGTTTGCTCCCTTTGCATTCACTCATACATTCATTTATCAATACATAGTTGAATGCTTTTTCTGTGACAGCTGCTAGGAGAACTGAGGGATAGCAGGGAAGTCTCCCTGGAAGAGGTGGCCATGAGCAGGCCTGGACAGATGAGTAGGAGCTGGCCATGAGGAAATGGGAGGATCCAACAGATAGAAATGCTACATCCTCTTTCACTGCAAGCATTGAGGTGGGCCACAGCACACCTTTCTCCCCCTATAGATGTGATCTCAACCCATTCACTAATTAGAGGTGCTAAATTGACATGAGGAGACATGATTTTTGCAGTGTGGTAATTACAAGGCAGTTGGCTTCACAGCTGTGATCACACGAGAGCACTTCTTACCCATAAAGACATCAGCTGAAAGCAAAGTGCAAAGGAGCTGAGGAAGCCAAAGAGGATTCTAATGTAATTTGCTAATTTCCTACATTTGTCACCTGTACAGCTGTGAGGGGGAAATGGAACATTTTACCAGAAGTTTAAGAGAAAATTAAAGACATACATCCTAATTGTACACAATTAGACAAGCAATATAATCATTATTATTTTTTTAAATTAACAAGCCATTTAAAATTCACTTGATCAGGATTTAGAAGGCCTGATTGATTTAGAATTGTGTCTCTGCTTGGCGGCAGCCACGTCACAGCGAGCAAACCCATTCATTCACCGAAGCATCTCCTCTGTGAAATGGGTGTACTTCTCTTCCCTCCGCCTTCCTTGGGATTGAGGTATTACTGAGAGGAAAAATCTTTGAGTTAAGAGGCCTTTCATAGGGGTGAGAAACACCATTGAAGCCCCATAATGTCTAAGTCTAGAAGTTGTGATCTGATATTAGCCATCATTCTCCTCAGATCCTGAGATGGGAGTGGGGTAGGGTTAGTCACCCTGGATTACAGAGAGGAGACGGATCCCAACAGGCAGAGGAGGGTTCCGGGGCTGCTTGGTGAACAACAGGGGTGGCATTCAGCCCCAGCCCGTCCACACTGAGGCCCTGAGTCCCTACCTTATGGACCATACTGCTTTCTCAGCACTGTCTTGGTTTCCATGTCTCTCTATTTTACTCTGATCTCTGACTTAAATAAAAAGGAAAGAAAGGATTCGAGGAAGTAATATTTGTTTTCTAACTCCTTTATATAAAATAATGAGAGAAAAGCCAAGGCAGGGAAGGAAGAAGTAAAAATCACAAAAGATTGTATCTAAAAGAGCAAAAAAAGTAAATTACTTTACAATTTAATATTTACAAGTAAATAAAAGCTATTTCTTAAACTGGGTGATGGGCAGTTGGATATTGGTTTCGTTATTACTCCTTAAACGAAACATAGATATTTCATATACTTATACAGTTAGACATAGCTTTTATATCATGATAAAAGTTTAAAAAGAAAAATAGGAAGAATTTTCTCTTAAATGATAAAATAAAATTTTATATATACATATATATGTATATATGTGTATATATATATATCCACATACACACATATGAGTTCTGTTTCATATAATTGAATTGGACCATCCTAGGGAATCAAAAGCATAATAAGCCAGTGAATCAGTATTATTGTTGTTTCTTTTAAGCAGATTTTGTTTCTTCTTAATCTTTCTTTCTTTTAAATTGCCCTGGTTGCTTTCTTGTCTTCTTCGGGGTACCTCCTCAAGAAACAGCTTTGAATGTTGGAGAGAGAGCTACATGCCAAAAATGAAAGTCCCAAGGTCAAGCCCTAGCCTTGCTACTTGCTAACGGGTGACTTTGAGCAAGTCACTTAACCTCTCTGAGTTTCAGTTTTCTTATTTGGAGAATGAGAGTCATAAAGTCTACTCTACTAACACGGTGGGTTTTGATGAAGATCAAAGTTAGACTAAAGAAGTAAACTTGTTTTAGACATTGTTAATTAGAGATGAGAAGTAGAGCAGTCTGCAGAATGAGCAAAGGCTGATGGAGTCTCCCTGCTCTGCCTGTTGCTGGCTGTGTGACCAAGTGCAAGTGACTTAACCTCTCTGAGCCTCAGTCTCCTCATCTGAAAAGTGCAGATCAGAGAAGTATCTACCTCGTAGGGTCGTTTTACTCATTAAATGAGAACGTGAATGCTGAGCCCTTCATGCCGTGTTTGGCCCATGACAGGTGCTCATCACACAATAACTTAAAGGAGCCAGACTACCTGAGCTCAAATCCCAGCTCCGCCCCTTACCAGCTGCACGGTCTCAGGCAGGTCACCACACCTCCCTATGCCTCAGTTACTCTGTGAGGAACAAAGACAATGATGCTTCCTCTACCTTCCTCACAAATTGTTTCGAGCTCCCCAGAAGAACACGGCATCAAGGTGGGTAGTGAAAGCTCAGCTGCTCTGCCCCTCTGAGTGATTCCAGACGGAAGCCCATCAACAGGAAGGAGAAATGATGGTTCTCCAAGTGGCTCCAGCCCGGGCTCTCGGACTGAAAAGCCTTCCAACCTTAGAGCAAGTCTCTGCATGACGTCCCAGCGGGCCTTTTGTGGGAATAGGGCTTCAAAAACACCCCAAGTCCAGGCATTCCTTTCCCCTTGTTAACTCGGGAAATGCTCTGAGGCCGCCCCACAGCACATTACTCTCGTGGGCCTCTGTGGAGAGGCACTCTGTGTCCAAACAGTTTCTCGCCAGGGCTCGGGTGCAGCAGCGACCTGGCGAGGACCTGAAGCGGCCCGAGTTCCCAATGCCCCCAGCCCAGCGCCTTTGTATATGTCCTGGCACTGGCCACAAACAGGGTTTTGTCAGAAGCTTCCTGAGAAAGTTGCATTCCATTCATCTTGGCTGAAAGGGACCCGAGATGACAAATACTTCCCTCATTTAATTACAGAAACAGTCAGCAAACCCATGGAAAAAGATTAAAGGGAGCAGAGAAAAGAGCAAGGCTCCATCGTATTCCGCCCCCTCAGCACCCGCCCCCCTTGCTTCTGGCCTGGGTCTCTCACCTAGGATTTAGCAATGAGAGCCGCTCTTGGTCCTACTTCCCACCTGAAAATTGTCATCGCTCCCCAGAAAAGTTAAACTCAGAGGCCCCAAATCAGGGAAAGAATGAATTGCATTTAGGCATGAATTCATCAGTGGCTTGGAATTTAATAAAGATCCCGAAGTTGGGAGGTGTGTTTACATTTTTCATCTGGGCTTACATCTGCAAAGAGAAATGAGACACAAAGGCAATTATCTGAATAAATCAGAGCCAACAAAACACATACCCACACAAAGCTAACAGACTTCATCATTTTCCTCAACCGTTGGAGAGAAGAGCCGAATTGTGTGGTTGCGAGGAACCTTCGAAATCCTTCGTCCATCATCGTATTCAGAGGTGAGGAAGACAGACACCTAGAAGAAATGATGCCCTTGTTCTCACAGTCATAGAGACAGGCTTAATGAAGCCCATTTTCCCCTGCTCCCTAAAGTGGCCTCATAGTGGCCTCAGCTTAATGTTAAAGTGATTTGCATTTCCATATGCAGACCCTAAACCTCACAAAATATTTCAACCTCACAAAATATTTCATGCCAGGCTGGAAATCCCCTCCCGGAGAGAGATGCTGACAACTCTCTCCCCACTTCAATCTGCTGGTTAAGTGAGTCCCCCAGAATCCCCCAGGACTAGCCATGCCCACCATGGAAATGTGCTATGTGTGAGAGATTCTGGAAGCCTTGGAATAGGCTGCCTCATGGCTGTGCTACAGGGTCTCAGAAGAAGGAGCAAGTCCCCAGATCATTGCCCCATCTCAGCTGGGACTGCCTCTTCAGAGCTGAATAAAGAAAGAGAACAAGATATGAAGTTAAAAGGCCAGTTTTGTCACTCCTGTACTGACCTTGCACAACTATGTCGCCTTTCTTTTCCATGGTTTCTTCAGCTGTAAAATGGACAGTGATTCCTACCTCAAAGAACCGAGGGGCTCTATGACCAACTCACATTCTAGATGTTTGGCAACTTCAATGATTTCAAATAGATGGAGCTAGATTGATAAAATCCTACAAAACTTTGCCTCCTGGCACTCTGAACACTGCCTACTAATAAGACAGTAATCATTGTGAAAAATAATAGACTTCTCCCTCTCTCTCCCACAACCTGAGTTAGGGACCCAGGGCTTTACCAATCAGAACATTGGATAGCTACACCTCTACTCACAGTTGCTGACCTTTGAAGCAGTCAAGATGTTTTCTTTTCTTCACTTTCATCTCTCTTTGCAAATTCAAAGAGACCTGTATATTCCTAGGAAAAGCTGAATAGAAAGAAGACAAGAGGACACTAGGAGTGCATTGCATCCTGGGAGGCAGAAACCTCACAAGTAAAGTTTTATGGGCAAGAAAGAAAAACTCTGGCAGGAATGTATGATGGAAATGTAATGTACTATGTTGATTCAGAGCATCAGAAAATTAGGCACTGAGGACAAAGATGTCACTCATTAGCATAGAACAGCAAAAAGTGAGAGACTTCTGGACACTAAAGACTGTGCTCAAATATTTTTCTGGGAAAAATATTCAATTATAATGTAAAAAGACAGAAAATGGGTCACAGGCAATCCATGCACTGTGTTATTTGATAAGCCAACTCTGAAAAGACCTGCCTTGCTTTTGACAATGAGTACACTGGAAACAGCTGACATTCAGCCTTTGAAAAAGTATTGCAAAAATAATCAAAGGTGCATCATACCCACAAGAAGCAGAGGAAGAGTCCACCTCTGAAAATGATCTATTGCAGAACAAAGAAGAAAACTTCAGAAAAACATTTAGCATCCTCAGTCATATGCAGAAAAAAACAGGGTCTCCCTGGACTAGTCTGAGATAAGGTAAGGGTAAGAAGGCAGTGTGATCCTAAACAACTTTTAGGAGATGGAAAATCTCAATAACATCATAAAATTATGTTAGGGAGGGTGAAACTTAAAAGTGAGGCTGTTGAAAAGCAGATCAACAAACTCATAGATCAAAGAACCTCAAGGGCTAAGGGCTGCAAAGTCAAATAATAATGAAGTGCCACCATGTCCCAGAAAGATCAGCAAAAAGTAGGAAAGGAGATAATACCAATTATTGGCCAGGATATGAGGAAGAAAGAACTTGTGCCCTGCTGTTGGGACCATGAGTAACCCAGCTGCTTTACCAGAAATGAGCAAAACTAAATATGCACACATCCTATAATAAAAGATATGGAATAGAGTGAGATGCTCTTATGAGCTGTAAAGGACAAGGAACCAGAGATGAAATCATGGAAAGAAATATGATCGATACGGAATTGAAGAATGAAAAGACAGGGGGCGCCTGGGTGGCTCAGTGGGTTAAAGCCTCTGTCTTCAGCTCAGGTCATGATCCCAAGGTCCTGGGATCAAGCCCCACATCAGGCTCTCTGCTCAGCGGGAAGCCTGCTTCCTCCTCTCTCTCTCTCTCTCTCTCTCTCTGCCTGACTCTCTGCCTACTTGTGATCTCTGTCTGTCAAATAAATAAATAAAATCTTTAAAAATAAAAAAAAAAAGAATGAAAAGACAGCATCTAAATAATGAGGCTCTCTGGAGCAAAGACAAGAATATATATGAATATAATAAAATCAATATGGTATTACATATAATACTACATTTATATTGTATATGCATAGAGATTTTTTTCTGAGTTGAAAAGCTTGAAGGTATAGATTAAAGGATTCCCAGTGTCTCAGATAAAATCAAGAGTGTCATACCAAGATCTAGCTTGGCAAATGTTTTGAAATCTAAGAATAAAGAAAAAACCTTCTTTGGGGATCCAGGCAGAGGACATCAGATACCTACAAATGAACAAGTGTCAAACTGGCCCCAGATTTCTCCTCTGCATCCCTTTGTAGTTTCAAAGGGGGGAAATGCAGCCCAAGAATTTTATACCCAGCTAAATTCTAACCATGTGTCAAGGCAACAGAAGTTCATCCTCAGCAAGATTTCAACCACTTGCCCTTCTTCAGAATATTAAAAGACACCCCAGCAGTTTGAAACAAGAAGCAAGATTAATATACCCAGAATAGAGAGGAGTAGACATATAGTGTGAGTATAAAAAGAACAAGAGGAAACAAACAGGAAGCATACAAAGAGAGCAAGACTACCAGAGCGCCTGGGTGGCTCAGTCGGTTAAGCCTCTGACTCTTGATTTCTACTCAGGTCATGATCTCAGGATTGTGAGAGAGAGCCCCGAGTCGAGCTCCATGCTGGGCCTAGAGCCTGCTTAAGATTCTCTCTCTCCTTCTCCCTCTGCCCCTCCCCACTGCCTCCCCTCTCTCCCTCTCAAAAAAAAAAAAAAAAAGATTGCCAACAAGGTGAGTGAAGATCAAGTACTTATTACAGCAATAAGCTTACATGCTTTAAAATCCGTGTGCTCTTTTCAAGAAATATACTTTAAAACAATCTTAATAGAATGCAAATAAAAGGAGGATCAGCTCTATGACAGGCAAATACAAGTAGAAATAAAGTAAAGGTTTCAATATTAATATCAAGCATGTTATAATATAAACCAAAAAGTAATAAAATGACCAAAAAAGTAATAAAATGACAGGGTTTTTTTTTTTTTTTTTACTTTGATAAATATTTTAATTCTCAGTTCATGGAATGATTATTAAGTGCCTGCTCTTGGGACCAGGCAAGGGTATATGTTGCTAAGAAATAAAGATGTAATTGTAATGAACATTTATACTCAAAGTAACATAAAATCAAAGCAGATAAAAACTGTAGAAATAGATGGAGAAATTGTCAGAGACGGTAGAGAAAAATTGAACAAGTCTTCTAGTCTTTGACAGATCAAGTAAACAGAAAAATGGAACATGTGATACTCAATGACTTTTTTAAAAATATATTTTATTTATTTATTTGACACAAAGAGATCACAAGCAGGCAGAGAGACAGAGAGGGGGAAGCAGGCTCCCCGCTGAGCAGAGCCCCATGCGGGGCTCAATCCCAGGACCCTGAGACCATGACCTGAGCTGAAGGCAGAGGCTTTAACCCACTGAGCCACCCAGGTGCCCCCTCAGTCATTTTGGTTGATTATACCTGTTATACATAAGAAAACTGATGAAGACTTTCATAGCTTACAACTTGAGACTGCATTCTCTTTTCCGGCCACCGTGGAACTTTCACAAAAATTGATTGTAGAATAGGCCACAAAGAAAATCTCGATAAATTCCAAAAGCAGACACACTCCATGCCAAATTTTCAAAACAGGGCAATAAAACCAGAAATGGTAACAAAACTCTAAAATTTTAAAAGTACTCTCTGAAATAAATCCTTGGTTAGGGATTAACTCTGAGCCTCAATAACTCAGAGCCTCAGTCATAGCGTGTTTGGAAATGAACTTGGTTGTGTGAAAGAAGGAAGGAGAGCTCAGAAATCTTGGGCATCGCAGTTCTGGCCGTGAAGCAGCAGGCTTGGTGTTTCCGGATGCTGAGGGAATGGGCAGGGAGGGAGGGCTAGCCAGCACATAGGAAGCAGGTGGACAGCCTTCAAGGGGAGAAAGAACACAGGTGTTGCAGTCCTGTAGACCCACCTTTGGAGTCCCACTTCTACCTCTTACTGGCTATGGCAAATATCTCGATGTCTCCCATTTCTAGGTTTTAGCCTGCTTATTCGGAACTAGGGATGCTGAGCTGTATTTGTGGTTCTCAGCCCTCCCTGTGTATCGACATCACCTGCCAGATTTTTAAAAATAATCCTGAAGCCTGGCCTCTAGACGCAGAGATTACGATTTGGTTGGTTTGGTGTGGGACCAAGGCATTGTATTTTTTTTAAATCTCTCCAAGTGATTCTGTAGTGCAACCAGGAGAGACAATCCCAGAGCTAAATGACTTCTCAGGTTCCTCCAGTTCGGAAAGTCAGCAGTGCTCCTAGGCCACTGCAGCCTTTGCCCACAGAAGAAAGTTTGAGGAGGCTAAAGCCAGAGGCAAGGTAATGCCAAGCCATCTAATCAAAATGAGCATTATCTCAAATGGGGCAGAAAATACTGGTGCCAGTTAATATTTTGCATCCAACATGATTTAGACCGGGGGCATGGATTGTACTCCAAGCCCATTGTAAACACAATGGGCCATTTATTCACTGAACAGTAACCACTGTAATTACCTACAGGGCAAACATATGAGGTTGTTCAAGCAACATCTAATTGTGGACCTGGAACTGATAGGACGATAGTGATCAAGTAGTAACCAGAGTGTGATTCAGAAATCACATCAGAAAACCAATATTTCCCAAATTGTGTCAGATAAGCATCTGGGGGGATGGGATGGCACATATACCATCCCAGGTCCTGGAAGACTACCCCCTGATTTTTCTAACAGCTCCCTCTTTCTCTTCTCCTGTCCATAGGAGGCTTGACGTGTTGCTTTAATTTTGAGAGACGAGTCACAGACACTACGTCCAAGGGGACTGTAGAGAGCATCTACTTCTTG